CACCGCCCGCGGACAGGCTCGGTGCGGGCAGCCGCGGTCCGGCGCGGCTCCTTCTGCACCATGAGCGGGTGCCCGCCGCCGGGAGGGCGCGCAGCCCGGCAGCGCCTAGTGGATTACAGCAGCCGCCCGGGCCGACCGCCGCCTCCAGCTCGGCAGCCTCCGGTAAGAGTCGCCCCTTGCGCGCCCCAGGGATGCCAAGGGGGCCAGGGGCGCCGCCGCCTTGGGCAGTCCGGGTAGCAAGGCCTGGCCCCCCACGCTTCCCTGGAACCTGGGGGTCGCTATCTGCTCCCCAGGCCACTAATCACTCCATCCCAGGATGCCCCCTGGGGCTCGGGGTGGGGTCCTGCTGGGTTTAGAAGTGGAAAGGGGAAATGCAGCTTCCTCCGGAGATCCCGAGGGGTGGGGAGCAGCAGCTAGGGCCCTGCTGCCAAAAGGAGAGCCCCTCCGATCCCTGGGAAGAAGGGTGTGCAGATGGTGCCTGGATATCTCTGCTTTGCTAGGGGTGAGGACTCAAAGGAACCCTCTACTATAGGACAGCGGTTTGGCAGTTTGTCTTTGGTCAGAGGTACCCCAGAGGCTAACAGGTGTTTTGTTTTGTTTTGTTGAGGGTTAGGGCTTCTGGGTGGGGGTGGGGTGGTCTCTGTGTACCCACTAAGTGTTTGGTTTTTTGAATCTAGGCTTTGGTGAATGAATGATACTGGCTGATTTCTAGGGCTGATGGTTTACTGGGCCTTGTGCATAAGGTGAAATCTTAAATATTTTAAAAAGTTTTCCTAGTGTTTTTTGGGGAAAGTTTTTGTAATAACTCGATAGGGTCCTCACACATCTGAGAGATGATCTGTCAGATGAATTTGGATTATTTTATGTCACAAAATGCATACACGTTTTGGATTAGTATCAGAAAATCTGGTGCAGTTCTTAGGATAAACCCAACAGACATTTCAGAAATGCGAAGCATTTCTAAGTTCAAACATTGCGTGTGTTTTTCATTTGCCAGAGTAGAAATAATAGATCTTTTTTGCTAACTGTAATTTTTTAAAAAAATACTAATAAATATTATATATTTGCCTCTATACGTCAAAATTACTGAACCAAAACATTATGCATTTTAAAAAATTTTTTGCCAGAAAATGTTTTTTCCCACTCATTTGGAATGGCACTTGAGGAATCAGTCTTTCATAAGCATGCTGTGAGATATGAAAATCTTCAGACAATCTGCCGCATTGCGTATGGAGTGGACCTGCGCATGGCGGCGTGTCCTCCACAAAGCACCTAGCGGCAAATCCTAACTTACTGTTCAATCAGACACTACAGGTTAACAATAGCAGCCACAAAAACGCTTTTGAACAATAAAGGACACATTTGTAGACAGGCATTTTTAACAATTAAACGACAGAATCGCATTCGTTTCAAAATGGAGGACCACAATATGTGGCCAGGTGACATCAGCAGAATTGTCTTAGGTCACTAACCTCTGATCACCTACAAATGGGAAATTCGAATGATATTTTTTATTTAAGTGTCTGTATTTTGTTAAATACTTCTTTACTGCATAATGATGGCCTTGAGATCACTCTTTGATATCAGGACACAACATTTCCTATTGAAAAGCAGGCCCCTAAACCTGGTTGTAGGCCTTGCTGAGGGAAGTTCCGGATCCGAGGGAGCCCCAAGGTCATCTGGGCCACGAGTAGGAGAGGATGCAGGTGGACTGGTGGGTCTGATGGCTAATCTGTAGGTCCAGAGCGTCCATGGCTCTTCCTTGGGTTCTGTTTGGTGGTTCAACATGCTCAAGTGACTGAAAACCTGGGTGCAGTGATGTCATGGGACGTCACAGAGAACTAAGGGGCTCTTTGTAAGCCTCCTAGCAGCACCAAGAAGTTGCTGGAAAGAAGTGGTCAGTTGCATCCAGAGGAATAAATAACTCGTGAATCGCATTTGAACCCAGGCCGTTTAGTATAGGAGGAAACTAGTTAAGGCTGTTGCTACTGCCAGAATTATCCCCTTTGTCTGTTAATCCTACCAAAAACAAAGAGAGAAAAAAGGAAACGAAATTTTAAAGTGGTATAAGAGCCAAGAGGCCTGAAAGTGTAAGTCCCGGCGTTCTTGGCCCAAACCTCTGACCATTTATAGATTAGGGAGCCCATAGCCTGTTGGGGCCTTGGTATCTGCGGATCAAACTCTGAGCTGGTCTTGAGATCTCTGGGTGGATCAGGAAAAGAACGAAGCTCGCCATGCCAAACAAGCCAAGAACAAGGGCTGGAAACCAAGTGTGTTTCAGATGCTCTAGCAAATAAATATATTTCTCCAGAGTTCTGTTCTCTGAGCACGAGAGACAGAAGAAATAGGAACAAAGACAGTATTTCACCCTGGGCTGGCAGGCAGCTGTTAGAGGTATTTACGGCATTGCCGCAGTGCGGCGGCCAGGCAGGGTATGTGGAGGCACCGGAAGATGGAGAGAAGCTAAGGAACCGGAATTCCGATTTGAATCTAACCTAGGGCCACTTTTTCGGAAATGATGTAAATATATACCGTATACCGTCTTTTTAGGAATTGGTTTCTTAAATCTGGTCTTGCAGAACGAGGGAGATATTTTGCTTGCTGAGGCTGGGTGGTTTTCCCAGCCTTGATGGACTACACAGGGGAAGCAAGTGTCCTATAGATGTTAAATTTCTGAACCAAATGCCAACGCTGAGAGTGTTCACTGGTAATATGGAGATTTTGTTGGTTAGGCGGAACAGGGCTAGCGACGCAGAACGGTTAAGGCTTTTCATACAGGTTTTCCTGAAAAGGAAAGATGCACTCCCCGCCTCTTTCAGATGGGGCTGCCAAGCCGTACGCAGCCAAGCGCGGGAGCAGTGTGCGGTACTACACCGCGCAGGGCCCCTCGAGGCGGCCACGCGTGCACACCAGGCGTCCGCGCATGTGCAGTGAGGCCACCCAGCCCTGGACTCAGCCAGGGACGGGGGAGGGGGCGCGGGGACTCTGCGCAGGAAGATAGAACCCGGGCTCTCCATTACCCCTGGTTCTGGATTCGCCACTCTCCTTTCCTTTATTCCAGCCTTGCGTCTAAATATAGCCAAACAGCTACGCCCTCAACTGCATTATTTTCAGTCACGACTTACCATCCCACTCCGATTTAAATCTGTGGGTCAGAAACAGACTGCAAATACGGGCGAGTAGCCAAAGGGGAAGAAATCTTTCCAGGAGATTCATCTACATCTATCCCTCGGGGGACGGTACAGATTTTTTTCAGCCTGGTGCGTCTGCTTTGGGAAAAGGCCTTTCCTCTGGCGCCTGTTCAAACCTCCAAACTCGGGCCGATCCTGCGGGCCAGTCGTTCCCAGATCTTGTTACGCCAGCGCTGCAGGGTCGAGGGTTGGGGGCCAGCGGCGCTGCGGAGAGCAGTCAAGTAAATAAATAAATAAACGGACGAACTGGAGGGATTTTGTGCCTGGGCTCGACTAATGAACGAAGGGTGCGCGCTTCTGGCCATGAGCTGGTTGTTGTGTGTCCCGGGGGCAGGGGGCGTGGGAGGGGGCCTCGGGGTTCTCTTGACTCCTCCCGGCAGCCCCCCGGGGACAAGGTCGGACAGGCCTTGGTGCGGGGAGACCTCTGCCAGCCGGAGGGAGATCCTGGCCTCGGGTTTCCCGGGCTGACGTGCTCTCCCCGCTCCGCTGTCTGGCGCCTTGTCCAGGAGGAGGCGCTGTAGGACAAGTGTCTCGCCTGCTGCAGCTACGCCGCCTTTGCCCGGACGCGAGCGGGCGGGGACTGGAGGACCTGAGCCGCCCCGCCCCCACCCCGTCCCCATGCACCCCCCCCCCGCCCTCCCCTGCTGCGTGCAAGGTGTTCTGCACCTTGGGCGAGGGTCGGCAGCGCCGTCCCTATCCTCAGGGGTCGCTTCTCCTGATGGGCAGAGGAGGCAGCTCTGAGAACCCCGAGCCTGAAGGCCGCGAGGGTGGGGGTGGGGGGCGACGGATGGGCCATCCCGTTTCCTCCGCCTTCCCAGAGGGGGCGCGATTCCCGCACGCTGCACTTTGGAGGATCCTGTGGGAACAAGCTGCTCCCAGCCACTGGTCCCAAGCAGCCCCTCCAGCAAGCTGGCGGGCCTCGCTTGCCTCTCTTCACTTAGAACAGGACCCCCGTGGACCCTCTAAGAAACTGGGCAAAAAAAATTTTTTTTGCTTGAAAACTGCTCTGTACCGCGTGGAGCTGGTCCTCAGCAGTGTTATCGGGGCCTGGCCTAGGGCCACGGGTCAGAACTATGCACATGTGCACATCTCTTCACACCATCCACATAGCCTTCTCCTGCCACTTAGCTCATTTGAGGCCTTTCTTGCACCAGGTGTGACACCCAACTTTAACAACTGGGTCTGACCCCAGATCCCACAGCTCTTTTGTCTCCTAGCAATGCAGCCTGTTGCTCCCTCCTTTCCCTAGGGCAAGGATTCTCAGGGAAGGCCTGCACCCAAAGCTCTTTGTCTATAAAGCAGGTGTCTGGGTCCCATTGCCAGACCTAGCGAATGAGAATGCAGGACCTAGAGACATTCTGACACCCCTCCCCCTAGGGCATTTAGGGTGCACACTTTGTGGAGGGCTTCCTGCCTGATTCTTTGTTGCTTTCCTTCTCTCCCTCTACAGATGGGCATCCCTCAGAGCTCCTGAGGCTCCATTCACGACTTTTTGCTTTTCCTTTTTCTTTCTCTCTCTCTCTTTTTTTAACAGTCACTGTCCCCCCGCCTTTTGACCTAGTGATAGATGTCAGAGAGGACAGGTTCTGTGTTCACACTGCCTTAGGTTCAAGTGGATGCTCTACCACTTCCTGCTGGGTGACCTTAGGCAAATAGAGCAAACTCCCTAGGTTTGTTTCCTCCTTTGAAAAGCAGAGATGAGTACCTTCCCAGATTGCTCTGAGGATTTTCACTTACAAGCGCTGTGCGTCAGGCACTAGCTGCTTTACACACACACACTTATTAGTTAGGTATTTAAAATGGTGTTTTGAGGCGTAAGAACTCAGTACATGTTCCTTATTACTACCCCTTTTTGTTTAGCAGTCAGACCTAGACTTTTGCAGCCAAAGGAGACCTGGATCACTCATCAAATCCTTGAATAATTCTGAGCAGAAGAGACTTGGTCACACAGGAAGTATTGGACCCAGGAGGGCACAGTTCCAAGACCTATCCTATTGCTGTGGTGGGCCTTATAGGCCCTGTTCTCTCGAATCTCAGAGTCTAGTACCTAATATATGCAGGCCACCCCTAAGAGGAAAGCACTCCTAGCTCCTTGGTGGGAGGCCTCACACTGACCTGGGCTGGTCTTTAACGCTTGCAGAAGACTTCAGGTCTTTCCTGAGAGCAGGCCTTACTGTACAGCTCCTGGAGTCACCTGGCTCATCACCACCTGTCCTATCAACCACACCTCCAGGATGGTCATTCCTTTTGTTCTTCTATTGCCCCAGGGCAAGGACTATCTTCAGTCTCTTGAAATCTAAGGTGGCATGGGAAGCAAAAAGCCAGTGGGCTACAGCAGAGGAAGTTAGGGAGTGCCACCCACCCCCCTTAATCTGCTTGTGCCCAGCTGGGCCAGAGTGATGCCAAGGAATGTGTTGGAGACATCTTATTCCTCAAAATCTCTTCAAAATCTGTATCTTTTATGAAGACTTATATAAATATACTTCAGGCCACACATATGTGCATACCCCTTGCAACCAGATTCTATTTACTTATCTCTGGCTTCCTTGACATCTGCCTATTGACTTTCTCCCCAGGGCCTCCACAGCCCTTGGCCAAGTTGCTTCTCTGGATTTAACTAGGAACGTGAATCAGATTTTCTCTGAAAATGCAGTGTATTTGGCTAGCAGCTGTGTTAGGCAGAGTTCTGTCCCTGGCCTAGGGTGGTGGCACTGGACCTCCCCACACACACTCAGACACAAACTCCTGTGCCATCTAACCCTAATTCTGGAACTTACCTGGCTACCTGAGCTACTGCCCTTCTCCAGAACACTGGAAACTTTCTGGCCCTGGCCCTATTTGAGTCAGACATCCTGTCTCAAGGCTGGGGGCAGGTGGGCATCTCATATCCCACCGTTGGCCTTTTTATCTGAGATCACCTCTTTCACCCCAAGAACTCCAGATTAGACCTCCGATGAGTGAGCATGTTGTGAAGGGGAGGAAAGAAGTGTTTTGTCTTCAATTCCAGCAGGAATATGCACTTTCTCTCCTGCTTGAGGTTCCTTGCTCACTGCTCAGCGTTTCTCTAGTTCTAATCCCAGTCTGGTGTCCAAGTACCAGAACTGGGGGCTCTTACTCCATCTACCTTTGGCCAGGAAGTTCGCGCAAAGCCCCATCCACATCTGTCCCATCCACATCTGTCCCTTCCGGTTGTACAAACATTCTAAGAGGAGAGGCAGTGGATATCAGAAAAATGCATTATGTACATTGAATCCTGCCCCCCAAAAAGTGAAACTAAGAGGGAAGGCGTGGCAAAAGGGGTGATGGAGGGAAAAAATGATCAAAATATATTACGAGCATGTGTACGTCTGCCAGAATGAAGCCCACTAATCTACATAGCTAATAAAAATGAGTGAAAATAAGTAAATAAAAGGTAAAGGTCTTGAAACCAAGTAAGAAAGAGAAGAGGCTAGAGGACATTTAATAGTCAGTATCAAAGCAGGTATGGTGGCACATGCCTGTACTCCCAGGGCTCTGGGAAGCTGAGGTAGGAGAAACACAAGATTGAACCCATTAGGGGCAATTTAGCAAGATCCTGTCTCAACATAAAACCTAAAAGTGGCTGAGGATGTAGTTCACTACAGAGGCCTCCTGCATTCAATCCTCAGTACTGGGGGAAGAAAACCAAGATCTAGGTGTTCTTTTCTGGACCCAAATCGCAGAGCTCATTAGGGTGGGCAGAGGGCTGACCTCTAACACATGGGGAGGAGAGCTGCTGCCTGGTGGGACCCATTCCCTCTCTGCTTCCCCGGGGGTGGCTGTGGCTTCTGGGTTGGAGAAGCCCTTCAAGCCTCCCTGCCTTATGGGAGCTAATTGGACAGAAATGCCAGGGACTGATTTTAACCAAATGGGGAGAATCAGCACCCAGAGTCCTGCTTTCCCCAGAAGCTCATTCATTACAGGTGTTTAAGAAGGCCCAGTCTCTCCCTCCTCACCCGTCTCCTGTCACCACCACTGGGCCATGGAAAGCCCTTGGGAACCCAAACACACTGCCACGTGCTCACTCTGCTCTAACCACTGGTGCCCTGCGTCTGGTGCCCATAACCACTCTCACTTTTATCTACAGAAGCCAAGGACAGTGGGCATTGTGGAGACGAGGGACAGTTGTAGAAAGGTGAACATTGGCTCTTTAATAATTTTTCCTGGGTGTCCTAAGATCACAAACTAATTGAAGATGTCCATTTTTAATGTGCTTCTTTCTTTCCTCCTTTCCCTTACTCATAGCTACTTTTCTTTATTATCTACATAATACAGAGGAGGCTGCATAATGTCACTTCCAAAGTGACTGGTGCAGGCAAGTCTCTAGCACCCTCCTTCATCCCCATTCATCCAAAAATACCTACTGAGCCGCCCTTAGGTCAACCGCTTGTCCTCCTCAGATGTGTCTTCTCCTTACCTCAGCTCCATAAAAAGCTCACCACAATTGCCTGGAAAATCATATATCCTTTGACTAATTTGTATTAATTCAAAGAAAAATAAAGCCTTTTATAACTCCTTCAACTTTGACTTTTTTCCACAGGTAATAAGGATTAATTTCAAAACTGCTCACCTAGTGCTAACAGAATCAGAAAACAGTTCTGAAGGTATCTTTACCCATTATTTTAATAACAGATGCCACAAACTGTGAAATAAAAAATGTCCTCCTACCTGGCTAATGGAATAAAAAAGGGGCAAAAAGGATGTCCTAAGGTCTAGGCTAACAGCCTTCTGTTTTCTAGCTAATAAGAGTCAAATTAAGAAATGGGCTCAGAAATATATGTGGACTGAAGTGGAAATTAGGAGGCAAATATTTTTGTACAGAGGGACCTCTTTTATGGGCTTGAGGGGACTTTCTGATGGAACTGTTGCAACAGAATTTGATTTAGAAATCAAGTGTGAGTGTGAGTATGCATGTGTGTGTGTGTGTGTGTGTGTGTGTGTGTGTGTGTGTAACCACTACAAATCGGCACAGAAAATCCATTATTTCACAGTAGTCAAAATCATGTCTTCACACTGTTTGGTGGCAACTCTGGTGGACCACTGAAAGGTTCTAGGAGGTGAATTCTTTTTTTTGCTCCTCAGTGGAGGGGGGAAGCATCTTCCCCACCCCCACCTCACCCTTCTCCCCCAAGCACGTTTTCCTGTTGAGCAGCTCTGGGCCCAAGTGCCTTTTCCTGGCTTTCTCAGCAGGCAGCTGGCTCTGGCACACAGCACACTCTCTTCGGCTCTCCCTCGGTGGGGGTAGCAGTGATGGGGGAGCTCTCCTGGGGACCCCACCCAGTTTTGGACACTCGGGGACTTGGAAGCCCTGAGCTCTGTGGTTGGGGGCATGGTGGGAGAGGGAACATCTGACTTCCTGGGCTTGGGTTCCTTGAGAGCCTCATTTGCTTCCTCACACCCTCTCTCCTTCACACCAGCTCTGTTTTATTGTTTTATAACCTTCTTTAGAGCTTCAGTTGCCAGAGATTCCGATGGGGCTATTCTCCACTTTCTCACTTCACCAAACCCTAAGTCTTGCTGTTTTAAGCAGTTTGGTCACTTGCAAAGATGTCTCTTTCAGATCTAAGCAAATTATAGAAACCTCTAGTCATGTGGCTATCTTCAACTTTCCCGGAGCCCATCCACAACAATACAGAGGAAGCCAACTGTTAATTCCAACTGCCACCCCATCCCCCACGCCCACTCAGCCTCTCCCTGACTACTCTTTCTCTATAGAAACTTGCACAAAATCTCAAATAATTCCCAACTTCTGACATAAACAAGAAGTGGCCTTGCACTTTCTTCTTTACCACATCTAAAGCTAGAAAACGATTGAAATAAAGGAGTTGATGGTACTCACAGCGAATGCAGCCAAAGAATCATAAGACATGCCCACCAACCAGCCTTTTCCAAATAGCACTATCTCCCAATTTAAGCAGGCTTCTCTGAAAAGGTGCTATTTGAAAAGCCTGGGGTATTGATATGAATATGACCTCCCTTGCATTCTGGATATTTGGAACTATTTAAATCTGAGGGAACAGTTGCAGTGAACCTTTATTTAGTGAATAAAAGTTTAAAGCCAAAGGTTATTTATGGTTCTGCAGAGATGAGACCTGAGTGGCTATTTACGAGCACGTGATTCCAATAAACTTTGTTTTATGGCTCGAGAGTTGACAAGCCAAAATATAATTCCCACCATAAATTAGGTTAAGAGCATACAAGTGCAGATGCTTGGATCCTGGAGCAGCGATAGGAAAGTGAGAGGCTCCAGCCAGCACCCGGCTCAGAAGGAGACAGTTCTACTCCCAGCTCCCCTGCCCACTAGGAAAGCAAACCAGTAAGTCACTTATTACTTTTTCTGTGACAACTCCAGAGTTGGGGATTTGCTCTGCCTTGACTTTTCTTCTTGGGGAATTATCTCTGAAGTTAATTCCAATTTTAACCTGAACCTAAATTAATACCTAAAGTAGGAATCCTGGTTTCCTTCCTTCTCTTCTGGACCTGGAGAATTAGGAATTCAGAGCTTCCATCTCACAAGAAGGGCTCTCTCTCTCCCTCTCTCTCTCTCTCTCTCTCTCTCTCTCTCTCTCCCTCCCTCCCCCCCATCTTAGAGCATCACTTTAGAAGTGGAATAAAACAGTGGGGCTGGGGAGGATGAGTGCGGAGATGGCTTTGCCCCTACGTGACTATCCTACAGTAAAACTGGAGAAGACTAAAAACTTAAACCTGGACACTCACCTTTGGGAGGACTAGTAGTTTATAAGACTGGTCTGTGTGTTCTCCTGAAGCAGTGCTGAAAAATTGATGGCATACCCCTAGAGCTAGATAACCGTCTGAAGCATTGTCGTTTACCCTTAAACCCATTGATTTTCCTCCTCCTTGGTTATCATTTGGGTCCTCATTTACCCCAGAAATTGGTCTTTGTTTTGAATTGGAGAAGTGGGAAGCAAGTTCCAGCTATGCCTTATCTTTCTTTTGGGAAGAGAAGAAGGCAGGTTTGGGGAGGTCACTGATTGGGGCCCAGGAATTTGAAACCAGTCTAAAATGGGAAAAGGAAGCTGAATTGTTCCCAGAGCTAAACCGGGGAGCTGGGGATGGGGGCAGATGGACCAGCTGCCCCCATCCCGGTGGGCCTGCACCCACCCAACCAGTTGTGCGAAACGCAGCGTGCAAAGGCCCATTTTCTCCTCTTTTCCCCGGTTTCCCACTGGTTTCCTTGTTACAGGCGCTCGGAGACTACCAAACAACTAGGAGGGTTTTACCTAAGGGTGCGAGGCGTGGAGGTGATAGGCACCGAACTCTCCCATGTTGTGGGTCTGCCCTGGAGAACTGCAGTCCATGGGGAACTTTGCATAGTTCCCCGGGAGGCAGGCACCCAGAATAGGGTGGTCGGGGTATTGGTGGGGTGTCTGGGCCTTGTCATTTTTCTGTATCTTCTATTTCTGCTTTATTATCCTGTTAAATTTAAGTGACCTCCTTTTTCATTGCAACAGGTTCGGACGGAGACAGAGCGCCGCTGTAAGTACCTTCCCGTTTCTTCCGAATAAAATAGCGAATGGAGGGGCGGTTCTCCTCCCAGGAGGTGGTGGGCGAAGGCTGCGCGGGTGAACAGCGGCTCTGCCTCCCCGGGCCAGGCCAGCGTCTAGGAGAGCCCGCTGGGAGAGGTGGAGGCTCCAAGTTGAATTCTTAGGCAGTTTTTCTGGGGCCTAGTTCACAGTCACCTGCCTAAAGGAGCACGGCGGGGTCTCGCTCTTGTCCTTGGGCCTCCCCAGACCACGCAAGCTCGCACAGGTGCAGTGCCGCTGGAGCGCTCCCCTCGGTGAGGAGCTTGCAGCTCATTAGCAGCCCACCCTAAGCTGGTCCGAACCTACAAAGTAAACCCGGGGCAGTGCAACCCCCTCTGTAACCCAGCCCAGCTTAACCCAGCCCAGTTTAGCCCAATCTTCTGTGGTTTTTTCTTTTTCTTTTAACATTTATTAAAAACAACAAAAACTTAACCCTCAATGGCCTCGTATGTGTTGGACTGGCCCGTTTTCCGGGAGGGGCTCCAAAGTCTGAGATTTAGAACACGCTTCCTCTCCCCACCCCCACCCCAGCTTCCGTGGCGTGGGCCCTGGGTGTGGGACCTGGTCAGCACAGTGAGGAGGATACAGTCCTCTTCTCATTCACCTCTCCTCCTCCGTGAGTGCAATTCAAGAATTTCTGCGTCAGAGTCCGTGATGCCCTAAGGAAGCACAGTTGGGTGGAGTGGGGTGGGATGGGACCAGTGACTCTTGGGTTCCTTGGCTCTAGAGTTTGGATTTTTCTGAGTTGCCCGTACTTCGGAAGACAGGTACATTTCTGAAAAAGCCTTTGGAGTCTCCAGGAGGACCAACTCATTAAGGCAGTGGCTATGGTGGGAGACTCGGAAAAAAGAACGGCCCCTCTCTCCCTGCAGAGAGGAGGTGATTTTATTTTAAAGGAGATGGGTTATGCAGGGCTGTAGGAAGCAGGCATCCTCCCTTTCTTGTGAGACACCTTCTCTTAACGATTGGAGATGCTGGCGCTTGGCTCAGAGCCAGGTTTCTTTGCCATGCTAGGCTGGGTAGCCTAGTGGACCCTCTGGGGGCTGTGCTCACCGATAGAAGCTGAGATCTGCCCAGCATGTAGTTCCCCTCCATGAACCAGGCTGGCTCCAGTGAACCAGGCTCTGGGCTCCAGGCTGAAAATTTGGTTTCCCCAGAAGCCCCTGGCCTGGCCCCCGCTTTTCCTGCTGCCTTGAATCGGGGCTTACCTCTGCCGAGGCTGCTTGCTGGCAAATTCACATTTGGCCCCTTGTAGCTGAACACGGCACAGAAAGCCTGAGAGATCAAAAGCATTCGTATGGGCAGTTGAGAGGGAGGTGAATATTTAACGCTTTTGTTCATCAATAACTCGTTGGCTTTGACCTGTCTGAACAAGTCGAGCAATAAGGTGAAATGCAGGTCACAGCGTCTAACAAATATGAAAATGTGTACACTCGCCTGGGTCCCCACCCAGCCCAGGAGGTTCCTCCAATTTGTATGGATAAAGCCTAGGTAGGCCCAGTGTCCCTAGAAAGGTAGATGGGTGGGGACACTTGCCATTAGGGGCAACTGGGGGGTCTGTCCTGGGAGGAACAGATTTGGTAGCCTTAGAGCCCTTGTTAAGAGTTGGCACCCCGAAAATTCCTACAAATAGTTAAATCACTGGAACCAAAGAATTAAGGGCAACATGTAGGTACCTTAAGGAGAAGCACGTGGCCAACTTTGCGGCTTTGGTGGGGGGAGCCTTCCTGTCCCAACCCCCACCAGACCCAGGCCCCACTTGACACTGATTTTTGAATTATGGGGGGGCAGGAGAATCAAAACAATATTTTAAAAATTGAACATCTGTGGCCTAGTATCAGGCATCCAAAAGCCCCACTTGAGCAAGGGTATCCTCTGCTGCTGAAATCTGAGTGCGGCTGCGCCCTGGATCCCCTGAATTAAGGGGCAAGCCTTGGACAGCACAGAGGCGCTGGGGCGGGCAAAATTGGTGAACTTTTGTACTCTTGTGTGCTGCTGTCGGCAAAGCAAAAATAATGAAACTTTGTGATATGTTTGTAAATGATTTCGAATGACCCCACGCCCTGCCCTTCACCATTAGCGTGCCGGCCTCAGACCAGGGCGGCTTGGTGCCTGGGAGCAGCGCCTGCCTCAGGGTCTGCAGTAGAAGCTGCGGGGACACGGAGAGGCCAGCCGGGCTGAGGGCCCAGGAAGGTAAATGCATGACTTTGGAGAACTAGCTTGTCCACCAACCTGCCTTGATCAGGCAGTGGAGAAAAAAAAATAGGCAAAGGATATTTCCCTCTTGCTTCTTTTTCTTCTTCCGATGAGGGCATTTGTTTCTTTTTGGAAAATACCACTTGATAAGGGGGGAGGGTTTTTGGATCCCGAGAGAGGAATAATAAAGCCGCCATCTCTAGGATGGATTTTTTTCTTCTTCTTCTTTTCTTTCTCAAGAATATCCTGGCTGCTGCTCAGCTGTTCAGTAACCCCAGCCCTAGGAAAAGAATGAGGGAACTCACTGCTGCAAATTGTCACCAAGCTTGTCAGACTATCTCAACTGTCCCTGAAATCGTGGGTGGCTGCGTCGGGCTGGTGGTGGTTCGGAGGATGAGACTAGGGCTGGCAGCGGTCTGAGTATCTGCCTTGGGTAGGACCCGAAGGTTGTAACGTTGTCTATATATACCCTGTAGAACCGAATTTGTGTGGTATCCACATAGTCACAGATTCGATTCTAGGGGAATATATGGTCGATGCAAAAACTTCACGTTTCTCCGAAATAGCAAGAGATGGAGGTGGAGACTCCGGTGTGGGTCAGCCACCTCTTTCTGTTCCAGGAAGATCGACTGTCCCTGGTGACATCCCGCAGCTTTTTCCTTCAGAAGCTCCTCACCTTTAAATAGAGGCTTCAGTGGGTGCTGCTCCTGCAAAAAGAAACCCTAACTGGTTGCGTGAATTCTGGGCCAAAAGGGTTAGGTTTGGGGGTGCTGGGGAGTGAAGCAAATGACCCCTCAGTTCCAGCTACAGCTCTGCCCTCCCCAGGGTATGAGATATAAATATACCCAAATGGGGACTAACTGGGTTTTGGGAACCTTGTGGGAGGGCAAAAGCAAGTTGAAAAAAAGGGCCAGTAGGTACCTTTGGAGGACATTTAGGTAAGATGAGGGTCCCCTCACCACCTTCTGGGCCTAACCCTCAGCTGCAAGAACTTGGGCATCTGTGGTTGCTGCCACATCAGCAAGGCCCAGCTTTGGCTAGCAACCCCCTGACCTGGGTACCTGGAGAAAAGCCTGGTGGTTACTCATTGCCTAACTTAATTCAGGCCGGCCAGATTCTGGTAACTTTCGGGTGACCCTGATGAGGACAAAGCCGGACTCAGTCTTTGTATGGCAGAGTCCCCGCTCCGTCGCTGGGCAGACAAAGTGCCCAACTCAGAGGCCACCTCATCTACCCACCTTTTGTGGCCTTGTACCCAATAAAAGAATTCATTCTCCCTTGCACCGTGCCCACCTTGAAGGGGTGCTTTCATCGAGGTGAGTGGAGAGGGCAGGAGAGGTTAACAAAAGTCAGAGGAGACAAAAGCTGAGACTACCTGCTGAAAATAGGGGTGACGGAGATTGGAACTACATTAACACCTGGCAGGGGCCCGCAAATGTGGTATGGCAAGTCATTTGATTACACGTACGTTATTTAGTTAAATTTGTGAAAATTATGAGATGCTCACCAAACCGGTGATAAACTCGCTCCCTCCCCATTGGCTGGCCTGGTCACATGGCCGCCCAACTTTATTCAGTTGACAGCAAGTAGGAGGGCCCTATGGAAGGAGAAAAAAAGACAACACGAGAAAAATTAGTATTTTCTACCTTCTGAAATTAATGGCCATGAGTTCGTATATGGTGAACTCTAAGTATGTGGACCCCAAGTTTCCTCCGTGCGAGGAATATTTGCAGGGCGGCTACCTAGGCGAGCAGGGCGCCGACTACTACGGCGGCGGCGCACAGGGCGCCGACTTCCAGCCCCCGGGGCTCTACCCGCGGCCCGACTTCGGGGAGCAGCCTTTCGGAGGCGGCGGGCCCGGGCCCGGCGCAGCACTGCCCGCACGGGGCCCCGGACAGGAGGCGAGCGGCCCCGGCGGGCACTACGGCACCCCGGGAGAGCCGTGTCCGGCGCCCCCGCCTGCGCCCCTGCCAGGCGCCCGGGCCTGCAGCCAGCCTGGCGGCCCCAAGCAGCCGCCCCCCGGAACAGCGCTCAAACAGCCGGCCGTGGTCTACCCCTGGATGAAGAAGGTGCACGTGAACTCGGGTAAGGCGCGGTGCCAGCCTCCTCTCGGCGCCCACCTCCAGCCCGCTGCCCAGGGCTCCCGGGAGGGGGGATGCGAGAGGGTGGGGGCACTGGAGCTTCCTTGGGCGCTCCAATTACTCTCCCCATAAATTTTTATAGCGGAGGGAGCAGGCCGGGACCATGTGGCTGGCTGCTTGGCTCTGGGCGCAAAAGGGGGTGGGGATGGGGGTGGGGTGGGGGAGGACTCCATTTGCAGAGCAGAGAGAACGCGGAGGAGAAGGGCATCTCCAAAATGCTTAGGGACTCCGGATCTCCCTGTGGGCCAGGGGGAAGGGAGCACATTTGGGGATCCTGCCCCGCGAGCCTGGGGGAGTGGGTGAAAGTGAGTGTGGGTGGGAGTGAGGGTGTGCACCAGGCAGAGGGTGGGAGGGAGGAAGCAAGCGAGATTGGGAGGCGCGGGCCTTGGGGCGCGCCAGGAAGTGAGCAGCAGAGGCCAGGGGCCTAACTAGTGGCTGGGTGCTGACCTGGCTGTGCCGTCTGTTTTGTCTCGCAGTGAACCCCAACTACACCGGCGGGGAGCCCAAGCGTTCCCGGACAGCCTACACTCGGCAGCAAGTCCTAGAACTGGAAAAGGAATTTCATTTTAACAGGTATCTGACGCGGCGCCGTCGGATAGAAATCGCTCACACTCTATGTCTGTCTGAGCGCCAGATCAAGATCTGGTTCCAGAACCGGAGGATGAAGTGGAAAAAAGACCACAAGCTGCCCAATACTAAAGGCAGGTCATCATCGTCATCTTCCTCCTCCTCCTGCTCCTCTTCAGCCGCCCCTGGCCAGCATTTGCAGCCGATGACCAAGGACCACCACATGGACCTGACGACCTTATAGAAGTGGGGACCCTGGGCCCATCCCTCCCTGCGCTCCAGGCTGAGCCGAAGCTGCGGGGGCAGGCCGGGCCTGCTGTGACCTCGCTGGGCTCTAAGGTACTGTGGGGTGGGCCTGGGACCTGCAGGACGCCCTGGGACTAGGTTAGCATCCTGCCCGAGGGCAGCCCCCTCCCTAAAGTGGAGATGCGGGTGGGAGGGGTGGGTGGGATTCTCTCTCTAAGTATATTATTATATGGCAGAAGCTACTGAGAACATAAAACCATGGCGAGTCATTAAACTCATGAAAATCTCTGCTGTTGGATTTTGAATTTGCAAATGAAGGTTGGATGCTTTATCCCAGTGTGAATTTGGACATTCTCCCCTACTGCACCCCTCCAGGGAGTTTTGTGGTTTGGTAATGTGGGGGAGTTGAGGCTGAAGGTTGGCCCCCACTGTGATAGATGCTCCATATGAGCTGGAGGGCTGGGCCAAGATTTCTGAATTTCTGGGTTGCCTGTACAATTTCCAGTGTAATTAATTTTTTTAAAAAAGTTTTGTTCATAGTGGCCCCATGCCCAAAGACATAAGTTTAAGAAGGAAAGAAAACGGGTTATTTTATGTTTAGATTATATTTGCTTAAATATTTATTTGCTGGGGAATTGGGTGTAGAAATAACTGACACCTTCATACCAAAAATCTTAAGATGGTGGAAGGGGCTGAGCTTCAGGGAACTGAATCAGATGTGTAGACTTACTTCTGCCTGTAACCTGCATTTTGAACTCCACCCCCTCCTGACTCCCTGGAAATATGTGTTGGGGGCCTTTAACCCTTTTAGAGGGGAGTGAAGGATCCACTCAAAGTTGAGTTCTTGAACATATAATTGCACATGTGATTTTTTTCAACACTGTGCTTACAACCAGTTCTGGGTGATTAAAGGAAAGGGCAAAGAAGAAACAAATGGTCCAACATTTTCCTTCTGGGGAAAGAAAACAAAACCTTTATGCTCTGGGTCCTCAGATAATGACTGAGTTTTCTGTTCCAACTGGATTCCAAATGTCCCAAATATGCACACAGAAGTATTTTGTAGGGATGAGTGTATGCTTATATAGGAGAGGAGCTGTGCAATGGGGGGAAAGTGGGTAGGTAAAGAAATCTTGTTTTTAAAAAGAAGCCAGTTGAATCTAAAAGTTCACAAAAGTTGGTAGGGCTTTTTCCCCCCTCTTGAAGTTTCAATTGGAAAAAAATACCTAGGAAGTTTTTTTCAAACCATTAATTAGAAGCAGAAATTGTAAAAGTATTAAAATTTTCAGGCCTCCTTCTTTGCCTTTAGAATAGTGGTTTAAAAACACTCTCAAACAACAAGAGAATGTTTTTAGTCATTTTTCTTATGCCATGTCTGGGAAGAGTTCAAAGCTTATTTTTGTGAAATGCCAACCCTTTAAGGATAAGGGGAAAAGAGAACCACCAGAGTTCATATACTCAAATAAAACAAGTCTTCCTAAGTTTGAAGCCCAAAACCTCAGGCTCCAAGAAAGAAACCTCTGTTTGCAGTTACTAAAAAGTGACAAAAGAGAGGAGGGAGAAGGGGTAAGCTTAAAACTTAATTCTAAGACCTCTAATAAGGTTATTTTTCGTGCTGCAGACCACTTTAGAAGGTTTCAATGATAATCTTTAAAATGTACTTGAGTGGAAGGGGGAGTGACTTTCTCTGCAGGCATGTTCTTTGGTTCTGTGTCTCCTGAGAGCTAAGGGCAGGTATTCACTGGAGTCCCTAGGCTGAAATTCCGCTTCTCTAAAGTGTCTTCCAAGCCTTGGTCTTTTGTATGAGACCCTGGGGACAGCTCTTTGTTCCTCCTTGGGGTGAGCCTGGCTCTCAGACTTGCACATGGCAATACTTGAATATGGCCACGTCGGGATATTAAAGATGGATATTCCTGCATTATTCACATCATTGTTTCTATGACAAAAAGCACAGAGTTCATACATAGTCAAGATGTCTTTTTACTGACGCCCTCACGTTGAGAAGCTGAAAAGGTATTTTACTGAAGTTCGGCTAAATTACAGAATCAGGTTCATCCAGAGGACAAATTTTCTATTCGATTAGCTGTATTTCAGCCTGGAGGACTGACCTCTAAACCCTTAACCTTTTGGACTCTAACTACCCTTCTCTTCTTTTCTCCTCCCCCCCCCCCAACATGGAGAGCAGTCTTTGGATGTAGCTAGCATTTGAAAAGAGCCTCTATCCTTAGGCAACTTGGAAAGTTGCTAAGATTCTTTCCTAAAACCCAAATCTGCACACATTACAGCTTCTCCTCTGGAAAAGGAAAAAATGTGTATTTTTATAATATCTAACTACATAGATATTATGGAGATTGTTACATAGATTTTCTCTCTCATGAGAAGTTCTGGTCACTCACCCAGGTTCAGATCAAAGGCCACCCTGCTTACCTGCCTTCACTCCTGCCCCAAAGGAAAGCCAAGAGAGAGGTATGTTTTCCAGAGTAAAATCCTAGCTCCTCCTCTAACATAATCCCACTACTTTGGAAAGTAATTTAATCAGAGAAACAACTTCTTTGTTTATATGTCTGGCCTCTTCTTCTCAGCTATGAGGGATTGTCTTTTGAAATGTTAATGGAGCCTGGAAGGCCCAGAGGGCAGCTCTCAACCCTGAAGTCCTACTCGGACACTAGTACCCATTTGGGCCCTCAAAATCGGGAGGGCCGGCCAGGGGCAGGGCCCTCCAGCCACCTAGGGCAGGGACAGAAATGAGTTTCCATCTGGGAATACACTCTTCAGAAAGCTAGATGTGGGAAGGGTCCAGTCCCCATTTGCTATTGTTTGTTTCCAGTTTGTTCCCCCAAATATGAGCCAGAAGTGTTTGCTTGGTGGTGTTTTTTTTTAAAACCTGTGTTGGGGTCCTGGCTGGGGGTGGGCATGAAGTGTTTGCTGAGGATATCGCTCCTCCGACCCCATCTCACTTTGTCTATTGCAGCCTTTTGTTGTGAGATGACATTGTCAGTCAGCCCCGTGGAATCTGTTCACATGAGATGCTTTTTTAATAGAATTGACCAATGTTTTGCTGCCACTGATTAAAGTATTATTTATACTAATTGTTGCCTGTAGTTTTGATGTAATTCATTGATCTATATTTGAAATAATAAAAAAGTGTAGTAAAATCTCCCTCCTGTTTGGTGCCTTGACAGAAACATTCTTTGTTATTTTCTACAATAAATTAGTAACCGATTTACTTGGTGCTTGAGGTGTAAAGCTTAAACCCGTGCAGGGCTTAGCAATTTTATTAGCACCTCCTTTGCCATACACACACACACACACACACACACTCACACAATTTGGCTACCATATTCTGTGAGCACTGGGAAACCTAGGGTTGGATTCAGGCTGCAGAGGGTGGGTATTATTTGTTGAGAAAAAAGAAGTTACTGCATAGGCTAACAGGGGGCTCTATATTGGCTTTCTGCCTAGCCCCGTCCAACCCTAGACCTCTTCAGTCAAGAGCCCTCAGAGGAGGTCTGGGTGATTTGTTGTATGAGAAACCTGCGCGCTCCCCAACACTGGGGGAGAGTGCTGGTTCTGGGCCGAGCTGAGCCTGGCTGGTGGCTGCTGTGACCTGACCTGGCTGGCCTCCAATCTCGGGCTCCTTCTACTTTTCCCGTGCTGCTCAGTCCCAAAGGGGCGTCTAGCACCTGCCCCCACTTTCCTGCACCCCTCCACCCCTCAGACAACAATAAACACTCCCCACTATAAAAAGTACCCCGCACTATTTTTATCTCCAGGGCTTTTCCACATCTTGGCCTCAGCCTTGAAGAGGGGGCCAAGACAGGAGTCCCAAAATAGATGGGGGTTTGCTCGAGACAGGAAATGAGTAGAATGCATAAAATCAGACATGTGTCCTTAATATATGGAAGGGCTCGCTCCAGACGCGTGGACATGTGTATTTATAAGTGCGCAGACAGAAGTTTAAATATTCAGACACATTTTATGATTGTCCTCTGCCCGTCTTCTGGTTAATGGCTCCTCCTGTGCCCACCAATACATCAATACCGCGGTGTGTATTGAGTCGCGGGCAGGGATGAGGAGGAAGCGCGTCCGCAGCCGAGCCCGCCGAGTACAGTAGAGAGAGTCGGCCCTCGGCAGGCAGGCAGACGGCGCTTCCCGCTCGCCCGCCATGTTGGGGAGCCCTCCCTGCCCCCCGCGCCGCGCTGGGCGGCCGGGGCTCGCCGGCAGCCGGGGGAGGAGGGCCTTTCATAACCCGGAGAATTTTCAAAGTGCGAGGAAGATGATAAGAATAGATTTCTACAAGTCCCGACCACGTGATTGGCGAAATAATTAATTCAGCACGTCCCTTAAGAAACAAGGAGTCGTCATTAATCTGCCACGCAAAGGGCTCTCTCTCCGACTCGGAAAGTGCAGGGATCCCGAGAATTTCGCCCGCCCGCCGAGGGGGGCCGCGCGGCGCCCCGGCCTCCACCCCGGCCCCCGGCGGCGGGCGCGGGAGCGCGGCCGGCAGGTAAATATTTTGGCGACTTTTATTTCATCAGATTTAAATCCTTAATGAACTGCGCTGTCAGGGTCGCTGACAAATAGTTCCCTTTGCTTCCCGATTTGGAACCGCGCGCCGGCGAGAAGTTGTTAGTGGCTTGGATGGTGACCTTTGGTTCAGCAAAGCTTTGCACTTATGAAAAATTACTGCGAGCGACCGAGTGTGCGAGAGAAAGAGAGGGCGGGCGAGCGCGCGAGGACCAGAGGGGGTGCGAGGGGCTCGGGTGCGAGGGGTGAGGGGCTCGGTGCGCGCAGCCTGCTCCCAGACAACAGGAGTTGTGAAAACCCGGCCGGCTGGGGACACGCCTGGCGCACGCGGGCCGAGGTTGCCCGGTCGCCTGTGTCTACCGGGAACAATGGTCGCTGTCACGGCATCTGCCGCCTATTCTTAAACTGGCGAGAAAGGGCCCCGGCCCTCTTTTCAAGCGAGGGTCGTAAATTTTTCCTTGCGTCATAATAGAAGGCTATAAAATCGAGTTGAAATTTTACCCCAGGCAGGTTTTAACCAACAGATAATGATTTCCGAGTTGCTTCTCCCACTCTCCTCCCTC